ATCTTTGCAAATGTAAAAATTTGGGGTATGGACGGTGCAAAGATACAGAACATTAAATTTAATATTCTGTTGTTTTCAGTTTTGTTTGATTCTAAGAAAAGTTTAATTGACTTAACAAAAAGTACTTGGGTTAGAATTAAAGTTATTTATATCTTGAAAAATTATTTCATAACATTTGTTGTATCACCCTGTCATTGTTTACTGTTATACTGCATAATAGTGGTGGTAATTTTTAAAAAGCTAACTTACACAATAGTCAAATGTAGGCTTGCTCACAACTTTAATGCAAATAGCTCTTTTGGCTTACAAAGTGTAAGTTTTGCTCACACAACATTCCTCAACTTGGTGAGAACTTTGGTTAGTAACTGTTGTGCATTGTATATATGGAAAAGTGGCAAAATATTTTAACATTTTTAAAATTTGGTTGGATATAGTCATTGTCAAAATTTTCCTGAGTAACATTTACAAATATTTATTTTCAGTGATAAGGTATAAAAAATATATTTTATTGTCAAATAACAGCAGATACTTTCACAGTTGAACTATCACAGTTTTGCATATTTAGGATCTTGATTACATTTCTTTATCTAATCTGAATTTGGCTTTGTAATTATTATTCTGTTTGCATTTTGAAAATTGTCTCACATCATCTACACTTGATTTATCAAATGTCCTCATTTAGAGTTAACGACCCTGATTAAAATTATTATTAAATATAATAGTCAGTTGACAGTAGTCAAAAAGACTTATGTGAATTGTTATATGCCAAAATATCTGCACTAAACATCATATTCCAGAACAAATTAGTATATGGAACCTCGGTATACGACTTTAATCCGTTCCTGGTGTTTGGACATATACCGAATAGGACGTATACCAAACCAACCTTTCCCATAAGAAGTAATGTAAAAATGATTAATTCATTCTGATGTAAAAAAAATGGCTGGCTTTAAACACCTCGCTTTCCTGGCTAGTTCCTGCTTGATTTTTCATGAGATCAGCATGTATCTTTTTAGCTTTCTCACAAATAATTGCTTCTGATACACTGTTGCCAGCACACTGATTTTTCAGTTATCCAAAGCAAAAGCAATTTCTCAACATGATCTAATGTCTTCAATCTCTGTTTAGAAATTGATTTAACCCCTTTCACAATATTAGCAGATTTAATAATGTCTTTATTTTTCACGATTGTCGATATCTTCGTTCTCAGAATACAGTATGCAACTATGCAACAGTTAAATCTCAAACACGCATGCCACCTTCATATTTCTCAACAATCTCTTTTTTCAGTTCCATTGTGATTCTAGTTATTATTTTTTTTTTTTTAGTTTTCTGTTGCTTTTCATTTGCCTTTTTGCAATTCACGATTAATAAAAATAATAAAATTTTTCTTAAAATTTAAAATTAGAAGAAATTTGACAAAGTTATAAACTGTGGCACCGCAAATGTCTAGTCTGGTCTAGTACACCGATAGTGCTACTTGTTCATAGATGGCATGTATAATTGAATTAAGTCGTATACCGAGCAAAATTTGTTTTGTCTAAACAGGACGTATTCTAAAGCAGACATATACTGAGGTACCACTGTATATTTGTTCTGGAACTTGTACTATATTAATTCAAGTTTTATTGTAATAACCATTTCTGTTTTCAAAATCTTCACTTAAAATTTGTCATTAAAATTTTCAACTGGTTTATCTTTATAACGGCAGTTCAAATTTTTGAGATTTTGAATGTCATTATAACATTAAACTCTATGAATGAATTCTTCAAATTCTTTATCACAGAGCTTACTTTAGTTATTTCCTTATATTTCAATTCATATGAATTAGTAATAATAATAAAATTAAAATAAATTCTTTTTGTACCTTTGATTCTGATTCCTGATTAATTAAATCTAAGGCATAATTTGGTTTGTGTCTCTTTTTATTTAGCAATTTCCTCCTTTTTGGTAAAATGGCATACTATAGACAGTTCCTCTGCTATGTCTTTCAGGTAACCTTTTCTATGCTTTTGAGGTTTATTTTTTTTGGCTTCATTCCACTTAGTCTTATCCAATAATATTAAGATAAACCATATTAATACTTTCTGTCATCATTTTTTTTGGCAGCATCATTTTTACAATTATATAGCCTGATCTTAGAATACTTTAATCATATTTCTGATATTGAAGATGACCATAATTAAATATTTCCTATTTGGGATTTTGGAGTTTTATTGAACAACTGGGATGTCATCAAATTTGGTAGGTATATTATTCAAAGCATGAAGAAAAGGATTCTAAAATTTCAAAATCTATCATTAATGGAAATATTGTACTGTACAAAATGAAATGCATTACAAAATGTAGACAAATGAATAACAAAGACAAATCTGAAAGTACAGATTAATTATTGTGTATTACAGTTACTGATGTATAAGAGGAATTATTTTTATAATTTGAGAAACTATTGTTTTTTTGGATTAAAGATTACATTTTGTATATTATGTGCTCAATAGCAGAATGTAATATGTCTAGAGAATTGTTCTGGACATGCTATGTAATGTTGTTCTGTAGTTTCTGTTTTCTCAAACTTTCTGACTCTAGCAGCTAATAGAGGATCTATCCATAAGTTCTTACAATATGTAATCTTATGAAGAGTAGCTACTTTCTTTGCTAATTTAGGTAAAAGAATTTTTATGATTGATGTGCAATTAAGTAAAGTGAAACAAATGTTTTGCATGACTTTCAATCAGAATGCTTATTTTAATTAATTGTATATTTATAGCATTAAACTTCCAGAAAGAACGTAAACAAAAACTTTTTTGTGAATTTGCTTTTCTCTGTTATAAGAGCATCCCATAAGATCTGGATAACTAAAATTGAATTTTTTCCGTATGCTTTTAATGGTATATCTGTTAAATTTGGTGAAATTTTAGTTTTTTAATAGCTCTCCAGAAAGTCCTGAATATAAAACATTTAATTATGGTATCCATGTGTATTTTGTCAGCTTGTTACTGTTTCTTCATTTCTAAATTTTTTGCAATTACCTGTTCATACTTTCTAGCAAGTTTTTTTTATGATGTTTTATGATAATCAACAGCCTAAACATTCTCTTTCTGCTTTTCCTTCTGCATTTACAAGAAGTTGTCTTCTTACTTAATAAAATAAGGAATAAAATATTGCATCATTATAACTAAAAATAACAGTTCCTATAATAATCACTTAATAATCCAAATACAGTAGAACCTCGATTATCCGGACTAATTGAGGATGAAGGTAGTCCGGATAAGGAAAAATCTGGATAATCAAAACAAATACTTTGTCTTTTAATGATAATACAACATGTTTTCTTTTCGATGACATATCGGTAATATTAAAAGTAAATACTGTATTTAAATCATGATCAAATTTTCAAGAAACAAACGTTCGTATTGAATTTGGACTACTACTGATCAGCGCTAACAGACTACCTGTTGTTTAAAAGGCTCTCTGGTGGCGCAAGAAGATGGATTTTATAAAATAAAAAGCAGTCAAAACTGCATTTTTATGAATAAAAATTTGACAAACTATTTATCGTTTTATGACGAGTAAAATTTTTTCATCGCGTTCGCAGCTTTTAAGTAATGCATAAACCTTCAAGGCACAAGGCCCTTCGGACCGCGAGGCGTAGGCGGTGGCCCACGTCGTCCGTGCCTTACGCCGCCCTTGGTCATAGAAATGATGTAATTTGAATATAAATTATTTATAAATACGTATGTCACGTTATATTTTTATTACTACGTAAAATATATTTAAGAGTTTACGACCACTGTGCCGGGTGAGACGTTGTTGAAACAAAAAAAGTTATGCATTCCATCACGTACATAAACAGTATCATAATTCGCCAAGTGCAAATCAGCAAATTCGTAAAATTTTTGTTTATTTTGAACAATCCGGATAATCGAAAATCAGGATAATGGAGGTTCTACTGTAGTAATTACTTTAACTGTGAAAAAAATTTATGGATATTGAAGAAACATTTCATATTTTAAATAAATAAATAAATACAGTTGATTCTCAATCTATTGTTTTTGGCAGGACTTGGGGAAAAAATGACCGATGCAGGAAAACAATTGACATTGGAAATTTATGACATTTATGTTTTTATTATTTATCTAATAAGAAACATGCTTTTTCCAGTTATACAATGGCTTTCTGTAATACTAAATGATGTGGAGCATATGCACAAACATTCATTTATTCTAAATTTTAAAAAATTGTTAAAAATACCGAAATTTGTTCTATTTTCTTTTGGTAAGAATACTTAATGTATTGACTCTTTTCTTGAACTTGAAAATGATATCATAGAAGTGTCAAAAATGTTAGTGAAATTATAAATTTTTGTCACTTATGATGTGTTGATTCTCTTATGGGAAAGGGTTCTGACTTTTCTCACTTGTCCAGATACGATCTCCCCTACCTCAAGACCATGCAGGGTTGCCAACCTTTAGGAGACAATCATCATAGCTAACCCTTGAAATTACCATATTTCACTTAAAATTATCTTACATTTATCTTGATCCTTTATACTTACACCCTTTATCCATAGAAATATTACTTTTCTACAATAATTATGTTACAATGCATAAAATAATAATTAAATTGTTAAAACTGTAGATTAAGCAGAAACCAGACGACAAAAATTAATTTTCACAAATGATCTTGCTGTTATCAAAACCAAAACTGACTGACAGAAATCAGCACTACAAAATAGAAAATTTTTGTTTATTGGATGAAAATGTATGAAAGTCCAAAATTGGCATGCAGAAAATGATTTAAAGGCATCAAAATATTGTATATGAAAGTCAAATGCCTGAAATTTGAGAACTGCCTGTATTGTATAAAACTATTGTTAAAATTACTGTTTGTAAAATAGAAATGATTATCTATTAACTAAAAAAATGCAGTCTTAGGGTTAAGTAATTTAATTGTGCAACATCAAGTAAGTTTTATATATAAAAAAAAGTAAATTTTTACAGATTACACAGTTCAAGTTGTAGCAGAAGATGGTAGTATTGTAAGACCGTCAAAGTCTGCACGGATTTTTATGAAAATATGGAAATCTGATGCACTACAAAATAAAAATATGAAGGTTTGAAATATTTTTATAATAATAATAACATTATTTAATAACTTGTATCTTGTTTAATGTCTTGCTGTAGAATACATATAGGATATTCATAAAAGAATGATTGAGTTTCACATGCAGAGTTTTGTATATTTCTTATCTTATACATTCATGACATATCTCAATCAGAAATGTCCAAGTGTGATGTGCATCACTCAATCTCTTTATATGCATACTTTGGTCATTCAATACATATCCAAGTGGTAGCTAAATTCCTGCCAGATCTGTTAGAGCACATTTCCATAGCATGAGTGGGTGATTCTTTTCTGGAAATCCCAAAGGGATTGGAGGATTGTGGAATATGTAAACTGTGTCTTTCATATACTCTTACAGGAAGAAGTTACATGGAATTAGGTCTGGAGTGGCCACTGGACGAGGTGATCATGTGCATCTGCAACATGTCCAGTTTAGCACCACTAAGGAGGCATACTGAGAAACCACAATGATCAACCTAAATAAGATGAAACTTGGATAATTGAGTGATGAATCTATGCATGCATTACATTTCATTATCAAAAACTGACAGTGTTACACATCTGTGAAACTCCACCATTCTTTTATGAATAACCTGCATAATAAAAACAAATGATTAAATTTTCAATTTCTGTGATTTTGATAACTATCAATATTTATTAGTTATTTTTTAAATAATAATTATAAATAGGTCACCTATACAAAAAATTATGAATTTCCTTTTTTATATGGTGTTCTTTTTTTTATACTGAAAAACATAGGAGAATCATCTTTTCTGACTGGATTTTATAATTAACTTTTTCATTTATTTCAGAAAGATTAATTTGAAATGAATAGTTGAAAGCAATAGAAAGGAAATAGATTTAGTGATTCTAGTAGATAACTATAATATACTATCATTTTTAATATAGAGTCAAAAGTGAACCAAACTTTTGGATTTTTATATTTTATGTAATTGTGTGAGTCCATAAGTGATTATTGTGCAGAAGCAATTGCTTATGCATAATAATCATTTGAATTTTTTAAATCTATTATGAACAGCGTGACAGGACTGAAATTGTATAGGAGTGTCAGAGAAAGTTGGTAGATAAGAAATTACATATCTGGAATAGTAAGCAAACCTTACCTGTATGAAAAACCTTTGCAGAAACTTTTAACATGCTCAATAAAACATCTTCTTCTTCCACAAACTTTTATCTGTTTCCAAGGGTGAAAGAGAAGTTGAAAGACTTCACAGGTTCCAATCAGTAGTAGAAATGGAAGCTGCAACAATGAAAGCCCTTAAAGACATCACTAAAAATTATTTTCAGAACTGCTTTGACATAGTATAGATGCTGTCAGAAATGTGTAGCTGCAAAATGAGCTTATTTGAAAATGGTATAGTGTAAAAATTTGTGTGTGTTGTGTAATAAAACTTGTTCTAAAAAGTTGTTTAACTTTGACTCTTATCTTTTAATAATACAAAAAGTACAAGATGATTTAAACATATAAAAATGAAGGAAGCAGAAAGATATGAAGCATTAATCTATAGAAAATTTACATTCTAGCCATTCTACATATTCTGGACATCAATAAATTATGTAGAGAATAAGAAGATAGAATCCCAATTGGAGCTTTCCACATAAGTTCTGATTGGAAGTCTCTTGAAAATAACATGACATTAGCCCTTTTTCTAGATCTTATGACATTCTAACTAACATCTTTTGACCATTAGTTGGAATGAGATTACCTCCTAAAACATTCAAGTCACTCATAAGCATATCAAGAGATTCTCATTTCCTTTTTCAAGCCATTTCATTTTCAAATATTTACGGATCACACATTGTTGACTTAGCATCTTAAACACAACTGCCAGAGCAACCACATGTGTATCACTTTAATGCTTCCCAATAATTCCTTTTTCACCTCAACATTGATATTAGAATCTTCCTCTTAGACATTGTTGCTTCCATACACTACTCAGATGCTGTGGTTAATAAGATTATATTGAGTTGAACAGAAAGTTTTTGCATATTTTTAACAGTTATCATTACTTAATACAGATGTGCAATTTAATTATAACAGTTGTGAAATTTAACACATTATTTATTTTTTGTTCAGAAGCTTACTTTGGCTGTTTACTTCACAACTTTCAAACTTTGAATGAAATCAAGTTGAAATTTCTTAAGATAAAAAGTATATCAGACATATTATGGAAAGGATATAATGCTATACAAACAGTAAAAAAAAAATTATAATGTGTATACGAAAGTTGCTCCTAAACTTCAAATATGTCAAATGTGGTTAAAAAGTTCCATTCAGGAAATTTTGAACTAAAGGATACAAAAAGGGATGCTGACAAAGCAAAATTGCAGGAATAAATTGCAAAAAATTGACAAATAACACACATTATATATAACCAAACACAAAGAAAAATAAAGTAAAAGAGTCACTGAAAACATACAAGCATAATGCAAGAACAAGAGATGACTTGAGTGCACAATAAATTGCATTTACATTTCAAGTGCATTTTTTCATTGTATATGCAATTTGGACTTTGAAGCTTCATTTGAACGCAAAACAAATTTTTGTCAAATTTAGCACTCAAACTCTGAAACGTTCTAAGTCAAAATACAAGGTTCCACTGTATATAGAGATGATGTCTCATAATATCAACAAAAGAATAAGGAACATAAAAAAATATATAACTAGATAATATTAACACACTATTAGCTCAGTATGTTGTAGATCCCAACCTTTATCATGTATTTCACTTAAGAAAATTTTTTTCCATCAATCCCCTTAAATATTTATGTACAGTTGAGCCTGTCTATCTTGAATCTCACAGAATGAGAAAAAAATTGAATAAAGACAGGTTTCAAGATATAGAGGTTAATTGTTAATTGCAACTATGTACTGTATTGTAAGAGATGTTTTTCAACTAGCAGTAATAGATTTGATTGAAGGTACAATATTTTATCAATACAATTGCAAGTACATACCTGTATTAGGTATAAATAAAACATTTTTGACTTACCTTAACATAAATAGTTGTCAATAGTTTCTAATGCTTGATTTTTCTCAACCAATATGACAAGCAAACTCTTATCCAGAGAAATGCAGCATTAATTGTAACTATGTATTGTATTGTAAGAGATGTTTCCCAACTATTGGGTTGTTCAGAAAGTAATTTTGTTTTTTTTACCATTAGACAGATTAGTTGTATTTTTTCCGCCATTTTCATTCTAAACTGTATTATCACTATATAATTTGACAGCTAGCATTTTAAGGCTTATTTGTAAAAAATTTTGTTTGATTTTGTGCAATTGTTTATTTTTTGTGTCCCATCAAATATGGAAGATCGAAAGCAGCATTTCCAGCATATTTTGCTCTTTTATTACCGAAAAGGTAAAAATGCTGTTCAAGCGAGAAAAAATTGTGTGACGTGTATGGAGATGTATTGACAGAACAACAGTGCCAAAACTGGTTTACAAAATTTCGTTCTGGCATTTCAATATTGAAGATACACCATGTTCTGGATGGCCAGTTGAAGCCAATGAAAACAAAATAAAGGCACTGATTGAAGCAAACTGCCAAATAACAACACATGAAATCACTAAAAGATTAAATTTGTCAAATTGAACTGTTTATGGTTACTTGAAACAAATTGGTTTCATTTCAAAGCAAATATGGGTTCCACATGTTCTTAAAGAGAGATGCTCTCTTTGGTGGGATTTTAAGAAAATTTTTTTTTTGGATCTTTTACCAGACAATTTAACAATTGATTGGAAAGTGTACTGCCATCGAGTAAACAAATTGAGTAATATCATAAAACAGAAAAGGCGGCCAGAATTGATCAACAAAACAGGTTTGGTCTTTTACCACCATAATGTCAGATTTCACACAAGTTTGGTAACTCATCAGAAACTGTTATAACTTAGATGGGACATACTATCACATCAACCATATTCGCCAGATCGAGCACACTCAGATTATTACTTGTTCCAGTCTATACAAATTTTTTTGAACTGTAAGACATTTACTTGAAATGACAATGTAAAAAATCACTTGGATCAGTTTTTTGTAAGCAACGATCAAAACTTTTATGAATGTGAAATCATGCTACTACTAGAAACGATAACAACAGATATTTGACCAAAATGGTTAATATATAATTCAATAAAATATTTATTTATTATAAAAATATTGTTTTTTTTTACACGGAAAAAAAAATGAAATTACTTTCCAAACAACCCAATACAATTTATGCTATCAAAATGTAGTCTCTGAGCTTTGAATTTGTAATTGACATTTCAGTCCATAATTTGAGAAGTAAAGGTTTGGGGAGAAAATTATTTGAGATAAATTTGGAAAATATATTGAATTTAGGCAGAAAATGCTGGAGAAAATATAAATTTTGAGATAAAGAGGTTTCCAAGTTCAACATCTTTAAAATAGACAGGATCAACTGTATATACATTATTTTTTAACAAATTTATTTATAAATGAAAAATTTTGAATATGATAGTGAAAATGTTTTCAAGAATTTTAAATGATTATATTTACTAAATATTTAAACAATATTTAACAATATTAAAAATATTATATATTTATGTAGAATATGTATCTAATTTGCTTATTGATCCCCTTTGAAACTTTCATCAACCAACTCCATTGACAAACTCTGCACTCTAAATAAAGATTTGGTTGTATTGTGTAAAAAAATCCATAGTATCCTTAAATGCTGGAGATTACTATAAAATGATAGAATTAGTATGGATTTATGAAAGAAGTTTAAAAGTTAATGATGTTAGCTGCAGAGATGCTGATAAGCTGCCGCTTCTTGGAAATAGTTAATGGGTACTGTGAGGGACAAACCGACCCCCAATAAAGTGTTATTTTAAACTTTAATTATTGGGAAATTCTTAACTTCGAGCATTTAGCAAGTTAGGCTAAAAGCCATAAAAATTATTTCCCACGGAGTTGGTTCTTTGTTGAGGAGAATCCAGCTA